CTTCTCCCAGCCCTACCTGCCACTCCCGGAAGTGGCGCCCGAGCGCGGGCAGGGGAACTCGCTCACTGTCTACTTGGTTATCGCCTTGGCCTCTGTGTCGTCGCTCTTCCTCTTCTCTGTGCTGGTGTTCTTGGTGGTGAGGCTGTGCAGGAGGCGCAGGGCGGCGCCGCTGGGTGTCTGCTCTGTGCGTGAGGGCCACTTTCCTGGCCACCTGGTGGATGTCAGTGGCACTGGGACACTGTCTCAGAGCTACCAGTATGAGGTTTGTTTGACCAGCGACTCTGGGACTAGCGACTTCAAGTTCCTGAAGCCCATATTCCACAACGTATCTCCCAAGAGTGCAAGAGAAGCAACCCATTAAAGTGGCACCTTCAGGAATAGTTTTGTATTCCATTAATCTGATTATATTGCAGTGTTTTCTACCCCTTATCTATAATTTTCCTGGATTAAGAGTTACAGTGTGTCATGGAGGAAAAGTCCCCCTTGAAGTATAGCTTTGATTTCCCTTCATAGTGGAGTTGTTCGCTGGTGTTGTCCAACTTTGGAAAACTCACTTTTACTTTATTGCATTTATGCACTGTCATTACAAATTCATGCTAAGGGTTGTTTTTTTTCCTTAAATTTTTAGTCTTTTGTATATTTGTCATGGTAACTGGCTTAATAAGTTCAACTGGAACTTTTCCTTATATGGTACTCATTCTGTTTCATCCCACTCAAGGATTTTAGGTGTTAAATTGAAAAAAAAAATCACTTCATTTTATTCTTTTTGTTTCCAAATGAATGCATATGATTACAAGTCCAGTATGTGAGAAACCATAATAAAATGCAACAACATCTACTCTTATTTTGCAACCTTAAGCCTCCTTGGCAAACATTTTTTGGAAAAACTTTTTAAATTGATATATAGCATGCAGAAAGCAAAGTGAATGTAATATTCAGCTGTATGTATTTTCACATAGCAAATGTAATTGCCACGAGCAACTTGAGAAAATGAAACATTTGCATTGCACTCAACACAAATTTCTCCTTAAAATCACTGGGAACCCAAGTATAACTGACATATGTCCTCACCATAGCATAGTTTATTTTTGCCCCTTTTGAATTTTATAAATGTAATAATAGACTGTGAACTGCCTTGTGTATAGTTGCTTTTGCTCAATATTTTATGAAATTTATTCATTATTCTGCTTAACTTTTTCATTCTCATTGCTGTATTACTCATTACTTCACTGTATTAGTCTTTTCATTCTCATTGCTGTATTGCTCATTACTTCACTGTATTAATCTATCAACGTTTATTAAAATTCATTGAATATCATCTAGCCACATATATGGGTTGGTGCATGGGTTGACTGTTATGAATCACACTACTCTGAACATTCTTGCAATGTCTTTGGACTTTCCAGTTTTGTTGGACACTAAGGGATGGAATTACTGCTTATTTTGTAGGTACATATTTACTCTTAGTAGACATTTCCAAATAGTTTTCCAAAGTGATTTTGCCATTTACACTATCCACAACATCTAGATGTACCCAGTCATTCACATGCTATTGTCTGGTTTTTAAAATTTTATCCCATTAGAAAGCATTTTAAAAACTTCCAAAAAAACTCTTACAACATTTATCCTTAATATTAGTTAATATTTTTATAATTGTTTTGGGTTGAATTGAACTCCCATCCCTTCCAGTTTCATATGACATCAGAAATCCCACTACCTCAGAATATGATCTTGCTTAGAGATAGGGCCTATGAAGAGGGAATTACATTAGTATTAGGTGGTTTGTGTAGGCCCTAAACCAATAAAACTGGTGTCATTATAAAAGGAAATTAGGCATGGAGAAAAGACATACCAGATACATGCATACACAGAGATGATCGTGTAAAGTCACCAGAATAAGATCATCATCTATGAGAGAGACTTCAGAATTTAAAAATCCTGACAACACCTTGACCTGAGACTTATATTCTCCACAACTGTGAGAAAATATATACCTGTGATTTAAGCCACCCATCTGTGGTATGTGGTTATGGCAATCCTACAAACAACATTAGTAATTTATCATGCATTTTTTTCTTTGACAATTTACTGTTATGATTGCTGGGTACTGCATTCAAAAATAACTTCAATTGTATGATCTTCACATAGAATATACTGCTATTTCAGGTACTTCTCTTGTCAAATTGAAAAGTCCATTTATTATCCATTAACAATAGTTTCATTGATTTTTGTATGGATAAAATGCAGACATTCTTATTCTTTCTTTCCTATTTCCCTTACATTTTCCAACCTCCTTCAGTGAACCTCTGTCTTTAACCACATCTTGTCTATAGATATGTTTTAGAAACTGAAAATATGAATTTGAATTTTGCTTTTTGTGACAATATAAATTATAATTCCCTACAACCAAAAATCACCAGGAACACACTTTATCAAAATAAAGTTGGGGTTATTGACTCTTTGTAACAATGGAAACTGTAGAAAATAAGAAACTGTGGATCACCTTAGTAACAGGGTAACTTTTGTACTATTATAAAGGAGTTCTAGGATTTGAGTTTGTGATAGGAAATTTGGAGAGGGTTTAAGGAAGTAAGGGTTAGCTCTGGATTAGACGCTTTAAGAAAATGGGAAAGAAATGTATGATTAGCTATTTCACTAAATTCCATTGAGGAATTGAGGAGAACAAGCTGAAATGAAAGTATAATTGGTGAAAAAGCAACATTCACTCATATTTGCAAGGAAGTGGAGGTCTTTGGTCATTGTCCTGGTTTGAACAATATTCTTATTTTGGCTTGTGCTCAACCATGAAGTAATTTTATTTTCATCTTGCTTAATTGCTGAGAGCCATAGCGGAGTCCAAATGACACAAGGCATTTTTGCCAGAATGGAGTGGTTGAGAGGTGATGCCAGCAAGGGATCCAGATGATAATGGTTATATTAAGCTGTGTATATTAGACCCCTGCTGTCCAACTCGGCCTGCTACTTTGGAGATTCCCGGAGAGTTCCCATTGGTTGGGGAAGTGCAGGAGGAGGGATTTCCCCAGGCGGGATTTCCGGTTGGTGTGTAGTGTGTCCAGAGAGAAGGCAGCTCGTGGGTGGTGGCGTTTGGCGAGTGGGAGAATAAAGGAGTTCCTGTTTTGAACCTACAAGGCTGTGTGGTGGCTGGGTTATTTTTGCCCAGCCAGACTGTGGCACTTAATCAGAATCACCAAGGTCTTTTTTGATATTGGTGTTGGGTGAGATGGTTCATGTTCTGTAGGAGATCTTGACCTACCTGAGAGTGTCAGGACAGTCCCTGGTTATCAGTGGCTGATTCTCTCTCTCAAAATATTGTCCCTTATGCAGCCATAGTACTTGGGATAAGTAATATCATACCTGCTCCTTGGATCTACCATTGTGCTTCCTATGCCATTGAAAAAAGAATGTCCCTAAAATCAAGATCAAATAGATTCACCTTTTCAACTTCACACTTTTTCAAAATCCCAATCATGAATTCAGCTTCCCATATTTTCTACCTGGAGCCTTCTATCTTTTTGCTTCTACAATAATTAAATGTTCTCTGCATCTGTACCAAAGTGCTCTCTGGTTTTCATTCTCTCCTATTTGATTTCATTGTGTGATGGGACCCTCATCCCCTTCTTTCCTTTTTCATTCCCTCCCTTTGCTATAGTAAATCCTCAAATGACATCCCCAAAGAGTATGTATAGAAAAAAACTTAATATCTTACATGCCTGAAAATGTATTTAGTTTTCCCTAATACTCTACTGATGATTCAGTGAGATAAAAAATTCTTGCTCTGCAATTTAAAATAGTTTATGAAGTGATTATTAATCTAAAATTTTTAATAAATCTTACCAAATCTGATTGTTGATCCTTTTTGTTCTCTCTTCTTTTACACACATATCATATATAAAATATATAAATTATATGTATATGCAATATAATATGTGTAATTTCTGTCTCCTTCCTTCCCTCTCAAATTTTAGAATTTTCTCTATTAGGAGATTTGAGTTTCACAATAATATTATGTTCTTTTTCATTTATTTTTTCTGGACGCTTGATGTATTTATACATTCCGATAATTCACATATTTTCATTTTTGAGATATTTCTCTCTATTACTATTCCCTTACCAATTGTATCCCTAACTTTATCTTGTTATTTCTGAGATTTGAGCTTATCAGTTATGGAACATTTATAATTAATTCTCTATTATATTAGGGTTTTACTTTGTTGTGTTTTTTTATTTTATATTCTGACATCTCTTAATTTGAGTTCCTTCTAGTGTATTATTAATTTTGGTGTCATATTTAAATCCATAAGAACTTTGTTATTGAGACTTTTCCAAAGTATCATTTCACATTTTCCACAACTCACTTCATATCCTGAATTATCTGTTTGCTACAGAGTCCATTTTTCTTTCTACTTTTCCTTTTTCTTTCATTTATTTCTTGCTCTTTTTTGTTAAATATTTCTCTTTTTTCTTATGTCTTGCACACCCTGGTTGTCTGTTTATATGTAAAAAAAGGACTAGATAGAGTATTTGAAGCAGCTGCTGCTTTTTATATATTCTCTGCCTTTATATTACAGGGTGGTTTCCACTAAGACCTCTATCCTGAATAGAAATTCTGACAAGGTGCTCTGTGAGAGGCAGTGCAGGGCCAGGTTTATAGTGTCAGATGTGACTTTATAGTGGGCTGAGATGATTGGGAAGGGAGCTCTTTTTAGGAAGTGATCCTTGATATGCCCAAATGCAAAAGACTCTACTCTGAGATTCCAAAACCTCCACTAAATGTCTTAGTGTTCTCTAGAAGATTCCTTTGATTTCTTTAGAAATAAATGACCCTTAAGATTTTTGAGGAAAGGTCTTGAGGAGAAATAATTATTAAACTTTATAACCTATTATATATAATGTATACTATATACTTTCTTTGTATTTATTTACAAATTCATTATACATATCTCATTTAATCCTTCAAATAATGGTATAATTTTTAATTGTATATTTTTTAAGAGATGAACAAACTGGACTATACAGAAGTAAATCAATTTGACAAACATCATTGTCTTCACCAATTCAGGCTTCTATAATGAAGTGCCATAGGCTGAGTGGTTCATAAATAGCTGAAATTTATTTTTCACAGTTCTGAATTTTTTCACTATGAACAATGGTGATACAAGTACATCTAGTTAGTACTACTTGGGTCATATCAAGAATCAGTAAGATATCAAATATAATAGACAATAGATTCCCTAATACTAAGATGATATAGATGTTAGAATTATCTGAAGAAAGTTTTCAAAACAGATTTAATAAAGTGCTTTAACAAGCAATTATGAACATAGTTGAAATAAATGAAAA